GATTGGGCTGGCCACAGATAGCTCCGCGGAATTCTGGCCCATAATCTAAATCAATGCACGCCAGTGATACACTGCCAGTGTCACCGATCACTTGATTATTTATCGATATATTCGGAAAAGGATGACGGCATAATTTAATTTGACAGTTTTGTAGACATAATTCACGACGATCGAAGACAGTCTCGACTCCTCCGACGTAAAGAGACATAAACAGCAAAACGATGTCTACGGACGAATATTTATCCTGTAAAAGATAATTAGGAAGAATTAGGAAGACAGAGGAATTCATTCAGAAAAAGACATAAAATTATAACATTTTAAAATTAAAGTAGCATGAAAATGATGAAAATTGCCACTCGCGAAATTCGTATGTGTCGTAACTAGGCAAAATGCATTGTATTCTCATTACGGTTTCTGCATCTTTCCAGCTTAGACATTCTAATTTCGCCGGGTTACTTGGAGAGGAAGCGGGATGCATCTTGACTAACTAAGTTCTCGAGAGATGTGTCTCATTCGTTGAGAATAGGTATTCTGATGAGACGACTTCTTGACTTCTGCAAAGGCAGACAAAAGCCCCACCTGACCATATCCTTCTGTGTCATCCTTTTATCTGGGTCACACGGTAGATATGCGATAACTGCATGCGTTGGCAGTTTCTCCGGGGATGCCTTATGTCACGATTGTTCGTCATAGAGAGTTATGGATTCCTCGCGAGAACGCGGTTTATCCGGGATCGATCAGAGAAGTACTGAATGGAAAGGGATGACGGAAATTCAATGTTATCAGTACCAACAAAACGAAAGTTATGAGATATTCTATAAAATCCTAAAATTGCATATCTCTGAAATATTCACACATAAGACTTTTTTCAAGATGTAAATATTTAATTTTCAAGTTTCATCCACTCTAATAAACAAACTCATTGATATTTATCAAATTAAATATTAATTGTAAGTCGCGCTTCTAGAAGACACTCGATTGTAAACACATTAAAAACGTAGAGAACGATATTTTTCATTAAAAGCTCAAATGATACTTGTGCAAATAATAAGAGTTTCTAATTATACACGTTCGACAAAGAGGATTTTTATGCAACTTAAGTTTTGTAGATAAATTATACATGTATATAAATTTACATCAAAAATTATTAAGCATTAAAATCCAGATCCGATAAGGCTTTTTTCTTACTTAGTTTGTATATTTACATATCGATTGAATCTTCAATTTCTTGTCTTTAATTAACTCAATTTTATCATAAAAATAAATTAAAGCTTATTGAGCAAAGTTTCCAAAAGAATGAAAATTCCACGTTCTGTTCAAATGTATCAGTTACCAAACTGGTCCGCGTGACTAGTGATAATACTCGAAACATGTATCTCGGTTTTATTTGACGTACGCCGTGCAGCCCATTTTTCATTCCTCGGACGACACGTCATCCCCCGAAGTTACATTACCTATGCTGAAAATAATGGAGTATAGGATTCAAGCGGGTGGTACATAGCAGACAGCACCGTGTGTGCTAATCGAGCCCATTATATATGTGGTGTATAGGAAAGAAAAGTTGCGCAGCGACGCCGAAAGCTACGGCGTGTTACGTTGCGCAGTCGTCGGGAACGTCGGCGGCGAACATTATTGATTGCACGAGGGAGAGAGAAGACAAGAGAGCTTGCGATGAGAGGAAGAGAAAGACGGAGAAAGGAGATATATGTATATAGAGAGAGGGGGAAAGAGAGAAAGAGAGAGCTTGCGAAGGGTGGCACGAGCCATCCGGGGTGCTGGAAGGAAATGAGGAAGGAGACGAGGCGAAGTAGATGGTACCCCTCGCTTAATACACTCTTTGCACCCTCCTATGGCCGTTCTTTCTCTTTCTCTTTCTTTTTCTCTTTCTTTTTCTCTTTCCCCTCTTCTCTCTCTCTCTCTCTCTCTCTCTCTCTCTCTTTGTTCTTTGCGACAGTCGATTGAAAACGAACAGCGTAAATGCCGGGTATTTCCACCGTGCAATAAATACGTCGCGAATTCGTCGTAAATATTCATGCTTCACCATCTTCTCTCTTCCAATACTTTTTGATAGACACGCGTTCTATTAATCGCTCTGCTCAACAAAACGAAAAATAACAGAAAGGCGAAGAAACAATAGTGCAGTGTGGTATTAAAGCAAAAATCGAATAATGTAAAATGTTGAAAAGCTTGATACAAACGTAAAAGAAGGAATTTGATGGTATCATCAAAGTGACAAATGCAAGTGCGAAGATTAATGGATTTTATAGATCGATGAATTTCACATCCAACAAGATTGTTTAATGGGTTCATCGTTTCCACTTGGTTCCACTGTTCATTCACTCATATAATAAATTAGGTTGTGTTCCAAAACTCACTGTCAGTACTAAAAATCTACTGTAATGTAATGTGACATATTTTCTTCGCTGACAAGTGAATTTTGAAAGACAGCCCTGGAATTAATTAAAAGTTGCAATATGAAGATCTTATTTCAAAAAATAAACGCCATTCTTCAAGTAATTCATATAGTAAACTATTACATGTAATTTAATTTATATGTTTACATGCACTGAGAGAAAAAAAACGGTTGGAAAAACCATAATTTAGTTATAATTTATAGTCATTTTCTGGAACAACCATAAATTTATATTTGTTTTGATCATATGAATTATAATAAACTGAACATTGAATTATGATCATAACGAACATAATATGTATTCATTCAACTAATTTGTTATGGTTATCTTACACATAAATCACATTTGCACATAGTAAATTATACTATAAAATGTAACAATACATATAAGGTTATTATTACTATACATATTATAGCAATAATAACTATAAAAATGATGCTCCTAATCATAATTATTTTACCATTATTATAGTCACAAATACGATATACTTTTCTCTCTATGATTACATGTTACATGCTTACATTTCATTATAATGTAATTTACGTAACAAACAATTGTACACTAAATATAATTTAATTTTGTTATATCGAAAGCACAACATATCCATAACATAGGCGGAATCCTCACGAGTTAAATCTTGAAATAAGATCGTCACACAAGTATTTCCACTTTACGGTAAAATGACCTCGCGCCAAGAAGACACCCGAGCTCGCGAGCTCGCGTCTGGAAAGGATGTCATGGTATGGAGATGCGGACGAAGCGAAACGTTCGCACCGATAGAATATGCATGAAGATGAACGTGAGTGCCAGTGCGGTTCTCGCGAATACGAAAATACGCGATGGCTCGCTCGTTTCCTCGTGCTCGCTTCTCCGCCCTTCGTCCCTTCTCATCCGCGAGATCCGCACAATTCGCCGCGTCTTCCGCGCGCGCGTGAAATGAGAACACGAATGAATGATGATAAGGCAGAGCGTACGTACGTTACGTACCTTTCAGGTGTTTCGGGCAGCATACAAACTCTACACCGGAGAACAGAGATATACCGCACGGCAGCAACATCGCGAAGCTACGTAGATTCATGTTCCGCTCCCGGCAGGTCTCCGCCGCCGTGGAGTTCCATCTGGAAATGCGAATCCACTTGATGCAGTCACGTGTACTCGAGGAGGACACACGCTCCTGATTTACCACGACACGGATAAATAGGTCCTGATAATCCGCCATCTCCATCGACGTAAAATATAACGTTAGTTTATTTTACGTCGGTGTAAAATAAACGTGTAGATAGCAGACGGATAGAAGATTGCGTCACTTATCAATGAAATAATTAAATGTAGCTCTTAATTGCACGATGGAATAGAACAATAGGATGGAGTGAATAAATATGGTAAAATAAATTTGTGACAGTGCATACAATGTGAAAAAAAAAACGAAAGCGAGAGAAAACCTATTTTGTATAAAAATTCGCTAATAATATAATTAACCCTTACCCTACAAGATGGGCTCGGTCACTAATGACCGAGTGATTCCTGTTCGTGCAAGTTTCTTTGAGAGTCTTTCGGTAATTATAAATTATACTACATTTTATTATTTTCCAAAATGAAATTCTAATATTTATTCTAGAAAGTTGAAAGTATGTTGGTGAATTTTTAGAGATTTTTTTTAATCATTCTGAAATAGGTGAAAAAAACGAATCTAGTGACCCACGTTTGTATGAATGAGGCACCAAATTGTATCTTGTAGGGTAATGGTTAATAGTAAATTTAACGTAATTATTGTATCATGTCGGAGTAATTGGATCAAATGTGTCTTCTCGCGAAGAAAGGACTGTGCTAAGCTATTCTTTCGACTCGTTTGATCGCTTTGACGAAACGCGACATCGTGAATCTAAACTCACTCGAGAATTAATTCCGTTTGACGTAGACGATATTCGCGCACATATAAGTTCGTTACCTGTGAGATTCCCAGCATTTTGTTTGATTATGAAGATGATCAAAGAGACAGCCCTCCGGCACGAGAAGTGCGTCACTCTGGAAAGGTCCCTCTGAAAGTAAGAAACGGTACATATTGCAGTGACTCGAATTCAAGGAAAGGCTCGATTAAACCAGTAAAGGTCGCGCATCGCCGGTATTTAGTCTTATTCGCTATTTCCGACCGACGATGCAATCTGTTTCTATCTTTCTGCGAAGAAAGAATTCTACCAATTATATTGGTAGAATTATATTGGCAGTCGAGGCACGAATCTACCGATGACTATTTATACATATATCCGTGCGCATATATCGAAATATATGAAATACCCGAAATCAATAGCGAGTCCGCGTGTAAGGGACCTCCCTCCAATCGTGGAACTTTATATATTCTCATCTAAAATAAATCTTGCACATTCAACATTTTAATTTTATATTATTGCTCTTCTAAATTCTTTCGATTTCAAAATGCTTAATTATAATTTTAACGACAGATTCTTTTACAAGATCTAGAAAGGATTTTTTTCTAAACTAAAATGTCAAGGTAGTAAGTCTTCGAGTAATAAACAATTTAAGATGAAACATTTTTCTCAAACTATGCTTTTAAAATATAAGCAAATAACGAGACTTTATTGTTCATTTAAATTCAAGAGCACTTTCTCAGAATTTTAATTCCAGGTTTAATTATCAAGTCGCTCAATGTTGAATATTAAAAAGTTTCAGCATAGTAATGGACTCTCTTAAAAGTTTTCCTAAAGATTTATCGGAGAATCTGCTCCTAAAATATTTATATCAAGACACTTTATATATACATATACATACACAAATGATTAAGAATATACATGCAAATCCGCATGTATATTCGAAAATACATACAAAGCTCAAAATCTAAAAATAATAGTGACAATTTTTCAGTAGTATATTTGTCCAAATGTCTGTTACTTTTTCATGATAAAACGTGATGGAGTAAAGAGTGTGCGAAAGAAAAGGGAGAGAGAAGAGATGACGGAATGGACACGCGTCTGAAGGATGACGCATCGGTACGTTCACCAGTGCTGATCAATAGAACTAGTCACGCAGACTCTTTGAGGGTATTAACCACTGATTTGTCCATTCGCGTATCATTCTTCTATGAAAGAATGGCAGAAGTTACATAAAGAATGTAAGTATATTTTTGCAAAAAGCGTTTCAAGTGTGTTATTAAAACGAGATAATTATATAAAAATCTGATGTTTTATAATTGGTTCTTTTTTATGAGGAGCTTTATAGAATGTATAAAACACGCAACTCAAGACGCGAAGGTTAAGAATGGCTGTGACCATCTACACGTGACCAGCATATTGGAATAATAACATTTATCTAACACAATTAGAAAATAAGGCATGGATCTTAGACCGTTGGAAATAGTGTTGATACGAAGAAGAGTTCATAGTTCTCATCCTGTGTACGAATAAATGATCGCTGTCGTATCGCCTACTTGAGATCTCGCTCCAGGGAATACGTCACTGACGACAAATGTGTTTTATGTCGTTATTCCATTCCAATTATTCATTTTAATGATATTTAAAAGTAGACAAAAAGGTACTTAAGGTAAAAAAGGAGTGAATATTGTTTGTAAAATGCATCATGTATCGAATCAGAATTTAATGACAATTTGTAAGACAAATTTGGAATAGATTTTTAAAAGAAATTTTAGAAAAAAATTATTATCATTATTTCTCTAGCTCTCTCGGTTTCTAATTAAACACATTTGCGTTTACTCTAATTAGAATTATGTTAAAGCTAGTTTAAAATAAAACAAAGTATTATATTTTGTAGTAGCAAGATGCTTCTTGTACAAATGCATTCTTCCCTCGGCTTAACGAATGTCTCATGTTTCTGCTACGTTTCTTCAAACTTCTTGTACGCGCGCGTTATTCGATTTAGAATATTCCACAATTAAGTATTTCTCGCAAATGGAAGAATTTTCACGAAGTAAGTTTATGATTTATAAGGTCCACTTTAATTAACGTCGTACATAAAATAGATTTAATAAATTACGAATCTACTTTTATCCCTCTTCTTGCACTGAATTCAATCGCATGGAAAGGGACTCGCGAGTCGCAATAAAGATACAGTCGCTTCGAGGAGATGCTTGTCAGTTGGCATCGAGAACCGAGTACTCATATACTCGGAGATGGAAGGAGAAGGAAAAAAAGGAAAGTAAGTGCGATCTTGAATCTCACTGCTGCGCAACGTTACGTGATAGTTTTTTCGTTCTTCAGCGCGACAAAAAGGCTGATCAAGGAAGGCAGCTGGGCAGACAATCCGACAGCAGATATCGCGTTGTCCGTTACACAGCGTATTGACTCTACAAATTGAATTCTTCCGTCCGGAGCAGATCGAGCGTTCTGTTAAATTTATAACTAAATCCCCGCCGTCGAGAGATCGATCTCTCAGTTTCTCACGGCCGCGACGCTGCTGCCGCATTATCGATCGATTGGTCCGCCCGGCTCTCTTGCGAGAGAGAATCCTCTCTTTGCAATTTCCAAGTCAAGAATCGAAGTTGCCGCGAGTCAAATTCTCGCAAGAATTTTTACGGCTAATATTAACTGATATTAACGCATGGTAGCCCACCATCAGCCCCAACTAAATCGATGCGGCAAATATTGAGATTAAGATCCATATTATATTGTTGTACACAGAAATCCACACTGATAGTACTGACACACACACACACACACACGCACACGCACACGCACACGCACACGCACACGCACACGCACATGTTGATAGTTACATTATTATATTGATTTTGACATCCCGTTCAGACAGCTCGCGGTTTTACATGTCTTACGATATCCATGACAGATTACTGTTTTATATTTTGACCCAAATTGAGATTGATCACGATACAGATATACGTGAAAATTGGCCTGACCTTCTTTCTCACCTACACATAGTGAAAATTTACTTACTAAAATTATAGAGATTCAATATATAATTGCCCGTGAAAGGGGCATTTTTGCTACTGACGATAAAGACTCACGAAAGATTGGCGTACAATAAGAGATTTTTAGCGATCGTTTGGTATATATACCAAGGTTACTGGTAAATTGTTAGGGGTGGATAATCTGTACGTACAGCTATTAAAACTACTACTTTTTTCATACATGAATTTGATACCATTTAAAAACAGTTTCTTACTCTAACGTGATATATGATAGAAGAGACATAATGAGAATAAAATTGAAAGGCTAGCTATGTTTCTATTACTAATAATGAAACACGCGAAAATATTCTGGTACAGTTTGGTACACTTTGGTTATTATACCTGAATCTCGCAAAAAATCGCCTTTTTGATATAGCGCAAAAATGCCAATTAAAAATTACTACTCACCCAAACATCTGTAAGGTTTGACCCATCGGGAGAGCTTGCATTTGGTTCTTCCGGGCTTGCACCATCCGCTCACCCTGACGTAGTGCGACGACTCGACGATGTTGGTGATGTCTCTCTTCGGGTAAGCCTGGAAGAAAAAAATTAGACGCAGATTAGGGACCTACTGTAAGTACCACATTAGCAAGTGGTTCGACCTGCAATCGTGCGCCCAGAAGTAATTATCGAATATACACGCATACTCAGAGAACCTATTATTATCGCGAACGAGCGACTGTTTAATCTCCATTTAAGAGGCCGCAAAAACGCACGTTCTTACTCCACGAGCCATTTCGCGACGTGATATTCGCGTAATGTGCGAATTAAATCTAATGAGACTCAGGTGGTGCGACGTTAGTTTCAACAACTATAAGGTAATTGAACTAAAATATATATATATATTTTTATAATCCAATCTCAAAATTAACATTAAGGATTTACTTTTATTAAAGTTGCTTATCAAATTTTTTTTATATATATTAGAATAAACAAAAATACAATAAAAGAGAAAATAGAGCCATGATGATTATAATTTTGATAAACTTAATTTAAATTGAAGAATCGTAAAATCTTAATTGAAAAATTTAAATTTAAATTTAAGACTTTGTAAGAATTTCTCTTGACTTATTTTGTAATGACCAATTTAAAAAGGGATTCAAATAACTGGATCTCTTCGGTAACTCCTCTCTTTTAATCTTTTTATGAAGGATTAAACGAAAATATTCGCGAGTTATCAACGAGGAAAGATTAGATGGCACGCGAAAATCGTACTTATAGCAGGCTTTATTAACGTGAAGAAATTTAAGCAAAGTACAATTGCGATGCAACGATTGTGGACCGATGCAATCTCGCAATAAAGTCATCGGCGAAGATTAACGTTATTTTCACGGTGGAATGGCGGGAAAGGTAACGAACCGCGTAATTCTGTGTTTTGTCGCGACTGAAGCGCGTCAACGAAGGGATGAAAATTCGATTTACGCGGCTCCGGAAGATTATAAACGACTTAATCCTGCCTGCAGGGCAACGGCAGCATCGCTGTGCTAGGCGTGATGTTAAATAACACGCCCAGCCTTAATTAATAATTCGTTCGCGAGTGGCCCGATTTTCTCTCTAAATAGTCGCCGAGTCGAGAAGGAAGATTCAAGAGAGTTTAGTCTCCATCCCCTGACTTTATTTAATAACTTAAACATCGAATAATTTACATTTTGATGTTTCCCAAACGAGAGCGGGACAGCGATTTTTATAATCAGCATCCAACGCAGGGAGGCAATAAAATCTAGATATTATTAATGGATTTTTGTTACAGAAAACAAGATTTACAAAATATTAAATTTTGGAAAAAATATTCATTCAGAGAGAGAGAGAGAGAGAGAGAGAGAGAGAGAGAGAGAGAGAGAGAGAGACAGAGAGAGACAGAGAGATACCATAAAGCTACATAATTAACAAAAAACTTGAAAAATAGAAAATTCAAGTCCACTAGCTCAGTCATTATCGTATGATTGTTTTGTTTGTTTCAATTAATTTATTATAGAACAATGTGGGATTGTAAAACCCTATTTTCCAAAAATTATTTAAAGATCATTGCTCAATATTGCAATGTTTCTGTCAATATAATTATATATTCCTATATAATTGTAGTTTATATTTTTACTAAATCATTATCACGATATGTCCCGCACCACCTAGAGTATGAAAGTTAACATAACAATATGATCGAGTGGATCGTGCAGCATATCAACGACACTCTCCTTGATCCTTCACTCGCGTTTCCTAACTCGCTCCTTCATTTACATTTTTTTATATTGTTATGTCAACTTCCATATTCTAGAGAGAATCGGAAATAATCTCACGTATTCAAAAATATGAACAATTACTTATATAAGTAATTAACATTTTATCATTCCAAGAGCTTTCATTTGGGGACTAATTTTTGGAAGATAGGGTTTTATACTCCCACATTGCATTGCCCTATCAATAAATTAAAACAAATACAAATTACTAACGAATAAACTTGTCTTTTCATGCTCATGATAAGCAAATATAAGCACGTACGCATATGCCGAACTGCTCACTTATCTATGTCTCATATACACAGTGGATTGCGTGAACGTGCCGTATATAAGTAGGATGGAGAATGTTACTCGTATTATCCAGTAATTCATAAGGTAGTTTTGCCTTTCACCGCGCTCTATTAAAGATTCGGAATGTAAATTGTTTATGATACGTCGTTATCCATCATTAATAATTCTTCCTATCAATCTTTTTCAATGCAAACAAGCTACCTCGTTTAAACACCCAACAAAAACATGAAAAGACCAAGTACTTCTCATGCGAGTAACAACGATAAATAAGTGCATTAATAAAAGATAAAAACAGAACCTTGTTGATTTCGAAACTATAAGATTTTTGCGAAATTAAAGTCAATCGTAATAATTTTCTAAGTCGGCAGGTTTTGATTCTAGCTTATGTAACAACGAGACTATGCAGTGGATCGTTAATGTTTCTTTCAATCTCGCTGGCAAAATATTTACATGTGTTCTTCGCAGGATGAAGGAAAAGATGCAAAGAGAAGAGCTAGAAAGTTTGATGGTAATAGAAAAATGTCAGGGATCTATTTTTAATGTCTATATATAACTTTTATAATCGACTATATATGCCTAACGCCGATCACCGACATTATTATACGTGTGAAAGAATTTAATGGTTGCGTGATCTTATAGACGTTTTTTCCTACCTTCTTACAATACTCCAGAATCTCCAGCTTGTCCGTCATGCAGCTCTTCTTGTCGGTCGAGGAAACCCATCGACCCTGCTCTCCCATATGTTGAGCAAGATATACCTCGCCAGGTTCGCACAAGGTAGCGACCTTCGTGTTGAGGAAAGATACAATCATTAAAACATTAGCTTCCAAGCGAAAAACACATTTGGCTCAGTTAACAACTTCATCAAAGTGTTTCGCTTTTCAGGAAGCCAGTTGTCTTAATTAACAGATCAGTTCTTGTTTTTCGGCAAACAGATATCATAATGACCAATATATTTTTATTGCTTTTTTTCTTACCGATCAAGAGTTGCCTGGCAGAAACGAAGACATGCTTTATTTCGAAATACATATTTTTTTCACTGGTATATATTTTTTACAATACGAGAACGTTTTAAATGTTCTCTACAGAGATTTACTTTTTATATTAACAATGTGTTATATCTAAATCTTTAATATCAGTTTAACAAATTTAATTAAAAACAATTTATATTCAATAATTTAATTAAATAGATAA